AGTAGAAAACAAAGATTTTTAACTCAAACCGTTGCAGTCTGTCAGTCACATAATGGAAGTGAATGGGAATCACGGCTTTGAGAGTCAAAAAAACATACACAAACAAAAACATCAAATTTTCATTTTTGGGTGAACTATCCCTTTAATGTCGAGCCGTGGAGGCCCCGGCCCAATTTAAACCCTGCTTATTAGCATGCCTATTATTAACATATTGGCTGTTTATTAGTACTTATAAAGCACGTATTCTGCATGACCATATTCTATATCCCTAACCCTACCCAAATCCTAAACTTAACAACTACTTACTATTAATAAGCATCAAATTAGGAGTTTATTGAGATGTGATTATCTATACGTTATCAAATTAAATCATTTACACGGAAAAATACAACTTTTAAATATTTTTGAATATACAAACAAGAAATTATGATGGAAATGATACTTTTCAACTAAATTAAAATGCCAGTAGGTGCCAGCTATTAATAAGCATCAAATTAGGAGTTTATTGAGGCAAAAGTCATAGTTAATGGTTTGTTAATAGCGAGAATTGGACCTTAAAATAAAGTGTGACCAAATATGAATAGCCTAATACATTCTCAAACCTGCCCACCATAATAAAGTAAACAAAATCAACCACTGTATTTCAGATGTTTTTTGTCCATATGCATTATTTACTAATGTAAAGTGGTGTAAATGGCAGATTGTTTTATTGATTGATTGATTGGTTGTTTTTTATTCTTTATATCACATTTTAAACTATTTACAATGAACTCAAGATCCAGTCAGAATCGTAAAGTTTTATTATTTTCATTAGCAATTATTGTTGATTTTATTGATTAGATATTGAAGCCCAAGTTTAGATCGGTTTGTAATCTTTAGATGTTCAGACCACAAGTTTGAGTCAGATACACCAAAAAAATCAGATTTTTGCTGCCTGCCTGTACAAAGCCTGTGTAAACCAGTGGTACATAGAACAAATTTTGGGACAATTCAAGGCTACACTGCTGAAAAAAAAAAAACAGCTGGGCTTAGCTGGTTTAAGCTGGTCTAGCTGGTTTTCAAGTGACCAAAACCCCTCTAAAACCACCAATCCAGACCAGCTGGGAGAAACGCAGTGGGGATTGATATCAGAGTGCCCTTGTGTTTCAGCGCACAGGCTGTCTCAGATCAGTATTCAGCATGGCTACACCTTACCATCTGATTCAGCACTGCTTCTCTCCTGAAGGTTGATTGAAAGATCTCTCTCTTCTCTCCCCTCTCCACATCCATCTTTACCCCTCTGCTCTGTCTCTTTGGATATGCCTCATATTCCTGACAGTAGTTTAAAGCACACATCAGTAAATATGCACTTTGATGTGCTGCAATGGGACCGTGTGGGTGTGTGTGTGTGACAGTTGCTGTGCTCCCTGGAGCGCTTGCTCTCTCTCACTCTCTTCCTTTCACTCTGTCTTTATAAGATTTTCTGTTGTGTATTGAGCTGAGCATTCAAACATGGACGGACAGATACACAACAAACACACACACACACAGATTAAATGACTTGTGGTTCCGGCAGAGAGGGGTGGCAGTCAGACGGTGGGGATTTCTAATTGAGTGGTTTGCCGTGAAGAAGCTTGTTTTACTCTTATCACTCTCTTTCTCGGTCTCTCACACGCATACTGATTCAGATTACCGTCTTCATCGTTATTAACATCAGAGACCAAGAGACAATCCCATGGGGACATTTTTGAGATGTTCAAAACTTCAAAATGTTTAATGTGGGAACTTTATGCAGTGAAAATGTAGTTTTAAAAGCATGTTTTCTGCACTTTTATTTTCACTAAATGAACATAAGAAAAAATTATGTTTAAAACCATATTTACAATTTTTAGATGGATGGGTGGGTGGACAATTAGATAGATACTTAAACGTATTTTATTTCAGTTAGTTGCTAAGGAAGCATTTCTAATTTTCATTTAAGCTTTTGGAAGTTTTCATTATTTTACTTTACCGTTTATTGTCCCCCTTGAGGGGCAATTTGTTTTACAGCGGTGGAGAACAGGCACATATAAAACAAACAAATACAAAACACCATAATACATTAAATATTAATAAATATAAAAAATTTACAATAACCTAAAAATGTACCTTTTCCTATTTGAATTGAGCTGGGAAATAGCACATGGAACAAATTTTTTTTTTTCATCCAATACTTAGATTTTATTTCTGCATTATTTCAATTAATATATATATTAATTTTAAGTTTTAGTGAACAGTAACAACACTGAGGTGAGTTTAGAGAATATTATTGTCATTTCAGGAGCTGTGGTGCTCACATGGATGATGCAGATATAAGTTTGGTCTGCCATGTGTCCCCTAAAATTTCCATTCACTGAAAAGAAGAAAAATAAAAAAAATGACTGGCTTCTGTTTCCTATGTTTCTTAAAGGTCCCATGGCATGAAAATTTCACTTTATGAGGTTTTTTAACATTAATATAAGTTCCCCTAGCCTGCCTATGGTCCCAACACTAGTATTTATATATTTATTTATTTTTCCTCCCATACTGTTGACAGACATTCGAAGACATATCTCAAAATAAAAAGAGCTCTTGAGCACAGGTCTTGAAATTTTAATATTGACACTTATCAGATGTTCCATACCTGCATATAACCTTTTCATTTTTTCCCTTCTTTATTGGAAGATTTGTGCCAATTTATGTGTTTGTATCCTTATTTTCCTGAGATGTAAGCAAAGAGTGGCATCAATTATGCTTAACAGGTGTTTGATCTGTTCTCTGTGCACTCTCTCTCAGACTCTGACAGTTAAAAGGCTCTGCAGATATTCAGTTCCTCTTGTTTGACTTCCTCTTAGATGGTCCTTTTATGTGTTTATGTGCTCACAAGCTTGTTTCAATCTGGTTTTCTCTCTTTTACATTCAGCCTGCATCTCTTTCAAGCTAGGCCGTTTCAACCGTCACCCTTATATTGATCTCAGCTTTAACGGCACACAGAGCCGTATGCATGTTTGTGTGTGAATGTAACACTTGGATAATTGTCCTCTTCTCTTTCTCAGCAACTCCTGCGAGAAATGCAGCAGATGGCCAGCCGACCATTCGCCACCATCAACGTCGCCTTGGAGACGGATGAGGAGCCGCCAGACCTGATTGGTGGAAATGTGAAGGTTAGCGTGACCTTTCATGTGGTGACATCAGAGTGGCTTTAAGAGGGAGTGCAGTTACTGCATATGCTAATGTGGGAACGAACTGAGAGCTGAGTCACTGGCTCTGTTCCAAAACCTAGTGAGCTGCGTCGCTGTCTGCTGTCTACATAAGCAACTGCCTTCTAAAACAGCAACCGAATAAAAAGTCATTCGAAACTACACACAGGCAGCAACTCTTTTATGACTGGTCACTCATGCTGTCTTAATGTGACGCACACAAGAAACTTGATTCTTTTGATTAGTTTCTCGTTAGCATATGTTGTTAATCTAAGGATTCAATGCCAAAATAAACACAAAAATACAGATTTCCCACTTTGTTTTCCGATTCAAAATGGTTGATTCCAAAAGATTCACGCTAACATGTTGCCAAACTAATGATTCGGTGCTCAAATAAACAAAAATAAATACAATAGCACGCAAATATTCACAGCAATAGTCAGTTCCCTTTCATGGGAACTTCGAACTGCGTCCTCTAGGGGTCGCTATGGGGAACGCCTCGTCGTGACCCGTGTCTGAAGCATACATTGAAAAAAACACCAACTCGTTGGCCGGCGACAGCCATGACGTCACTACCGGTGCGACTATAGTATAAATAGGCGCCGGGAGCACACATCATTCTCTTAAGTGTGCACGCTATGCTTTGCCCACTTTCTAAAATCCACATAAGTGGTAAGTGTGCATGTTATGCTTTGCCCACTCTTCTAAAATCCTGTATGGTAAGGGTTACGCGTTATTGATCTCGTTCCGTTTCTCTGAGTTGGTTTAGACCCCGGGACCTTGGGCTCCACTCAAATAGTGTGTCTCTGTTGACACACTCTGGAAGCATCGCTCCCCTCACCATTGAGGGTTACTATGAGCATGCTGCTTCCTATCGAGCGCCCGGGTCACGGGTCACGACGAGGCGTTCCCCATAGCGACCCCTAGAGGACCCAGTGTCTCGTTCCCTACTCAGGGAACCATGGTTACATAAGTAACCTGTGACGTTTTTCATTAAATGCACATCAGTTATCAGTTAGGATGTCCAGTTTGCTTTGCTTTAAAATTCTGTCTCTGCTAATGTTGTGAAATATACAGGGAAGTATTTCAGAAGGGCTTTTCACAATTGAAATAGTTAACCCCGAGTCATTCTAAATCTCAGGTAAACTGAATCCTGGTTTATTGTGCTTCTCATTTCACACCACAACCCTCTATGCACCCCTTGGCAATAGAACTGCCATTGGCTAGTGGATTTCTTGGTGTACTCACCAGACTTGACAGATATATATGAATATATGAAAGATTTGAAATCTTATTTTCTTTACAAAATGACAGCCCTTTATAAAGATACATTCATATGTATTGCCACCTGCATGTTATTCTCGCCCACTACTGAAGTAACCAGCCGGCAGTGCTTTCTGATTAGTCTTAAAGGTTGAATAATTTCGAACCAACTCAAAAAGAATATCATTTGCATGCAATTCAAAAGAATATCATTTGCATGTAGTTCGTCAATTCTTCATGGTATGTAAGACTCTATTTGTTCTCTTTTTGCATGTGTGAGAGAAACAGATCGCTCATTTAAGCGACAGTTAGTGGGGCACCTACACACTAGAGTTTTCAGTCTGTCAAATACCCTGCTCATCCATTGATTTCAATGGAAATAGTGCATTCGCTTTGCTGTAAAGTGACGATAGATGTTACTTAGTCAACTACCATTGGATAAATACAGCACACGACAGGTTTAGATGACATTGGTTGTGTTGTATGTTTGTTTTGCATACAATCCGCAATAGAAAGAGGTTTCTTTTTCATTATTTGATGGTACATAGTCCTTGTATTACATCACATTCAGTACAGATTTCAAACTTACATTCACAACTCGGGTAAAATATAATTTCTTTTTCCGATGAAGATTCAGCAATGGGGGAATACTATGCTGAAAAATGGTGCAGAATGCACTGATATTGGGAACTTTCTTGGTACATTATGAAAATATTTACGTTAAATATTAACAACAGGGCCCAAACTATGCAGTTGACCGAGTTAGTTTTCCATGCAGGCTACATTTTCATGCACCCACTGAAAATAGGAATTGAGTAAAAGATCAATAATGGTATTTTAAGAATTGATATCTAGATAGTTGAAATAAAGACTGCGATTAATTGGAAAATCTAGGTTTTACCCAACACTATAAATGAAATAATTCTATCGATTTTAAAGTGGTAAATAAAACATATTTCCCTCAAATCACAAAGCTCTCCAAAATGCATTCAAGGATTGTATCTTTGGAGGATACATGTGATACTACCTGACAACTTGGCCAAAATGAGGTACATTATAAGGGAGTATAGATTTTTTGGAATGTGCCTCAAGAATTGTCTTGTTAGGCAGCTTACTGGGTTTTAGAACAGAACTTCTGTGTTTTAAGTGTTTTTAGGTACTCAGCAACTTTAAAACCATCACACTTTCATTGTCTAGTTTTGACAGCTTTGTTTAATTCTGTTTACTTTAGTTTCAAGGCTTCTTGACCCCTCTATGAGGTTTGCAACTAATAACTGCATTACATAGTATTACAGCTATATTTGATTTCAGGAATTGTTGGTTTGTAATTGCTGTTTTGTTTTGTTTTTTTGTCCTAATACTGTAATGACAGCCCTAGAGTGAAGATCCAATTTAGATTTACCTCTTTCCTATGTTCTCACTCCTGCTCCATCAATGTCCTATGCTCACGATCAAGGTTTAAAAGTAATTACAATCCAGCCATCCTTGATAGCAAAATGCTATAAATGCAGTTATTTCTCTCAAATCTCATAGAAGGACCCAGAGGGTGTGAAACTAAAGTAAACACAACTAAACAAAGAGCGATGCACACAGGAGCTCAGTGGACATCAGAACATTCAGTGCTGTAGTTTGTGGCCTCTGACACACTAAGTATACATCTGCTTTCTCTCTCACTCACTCACCGTCACTCTCGTTTTCTTTAACTATAAGAGTTAATTAAACAGAACCTGTCTTCTGCTTGCTCAGTCTGGTTGCCTCAGATAATCGCCTGAGCCGAAACGTAACGAACGCATATATATAAATATATAAATGCATACATACAGCAATACGCCCCTCCATACTCATGCAGATGCTCTCAGAGTCTGTAATTGAATTTTACTAGGAGTTTCTTCTTTTTGTGTGCTGGAGGAGTAGGTGTGTATGGCGTGAAAGATAAATGCAGTTCCCCCCTGCTCTGAATTGACAGTGGGAAAGTGCGAGGAGGAGAGAGATAGAGAGAAGCGAGGGGGTGAACTGGCCTCGGTAGGATAAGAAGTGGCTTAAAGAGAAGAATATATGAAGAGAAGGAGGGATGAATATGCAAGTGTGCTATACAGTGGGGAGAATGTGTGAATGAGGGGTTGGAGAGCCGCAGTAAGCATGCAAACACTCAGTCATTGAACAGTCTTTTTGATGCATATGCGCTAATATCATGCATACACACAACACACGCTGGGGAAACTCGGCAGTTAGGTAAAAAGAACAAGTGTGTGTGTATAAAAGGGTTTATGTAAGGCTTGGGACTAAGGGCAAAATGAGAGTGTGAAATGGGTCAAAGCTGGAATATGATTTGTGCATGTGTTCAAAAACAGAAGGTCAAGTGCTTTCAGCCCTGCTCCACACATGCATTAAAAATACTTACAAAAAATTACAATGGTTTCTGTGCATGTACCGTGGTATTCTTTGAAGCACAGTGCCTTGGAATATAGCAGTCATTCCAGTACACTGGTACAATATATGTCATAGTAATACATTAAAGGGTAATGTTTTTTTTCCTTTAAAATGTTTTCTGGTGATGTTGTTTTGCCACTGTTAAAGGGATAGTTCACCCAAAAAATGTAATTAATTACTCACCCTCATGTCATTCCAAACCAGTAAGACCTTCGTTCATCTTCGGAACACAAATTAAGATATTTTTGATGAAATCTGAGAGCTTTCTGACCCTCAATAGACAACAAGGGTACATAATCAAAAATATCTTAATTTGAGTTCAGAAGATGAACGAAGGTCTTGCGTGTTTGGAACGACATGAGGGTGAGTAATTAATTAAAGAATTTTCATTTTTGGGTGAACTATCCCTTTAAGAGGTGAAGGGGCTAAAATTATAATACAGTATTATAATACCAGTGTCACAGGTGTGCACATATCAGCTGTTTTAGAGTGATTTTTAAAATTTGACTGAACGAGTCAAATTCAGAGTCAGAACTGTCCATGTGTTTTAATAATGTCATTTATATGTACAATGGGGTCCAAATGTCTGAGACCACAATGAAAATCTTTTTTTTCTGTCAAGTCTGGAATTCCTTTTTAAGATTTTAAAAGAATAAGAAATACATATATGGTACTGCTGCATTTCTTGGTCAAAAATCAAATAAGTACATAGATCTTGAGCACTTATTTGTACAGGCGTCAGATGTTCTTGCTTATAATGAAACTCAAGATGCTCTTTGGATCATTCTCAAATTATGCTTTTTTAAACAGAAATTAACACTTTTATTAAACAAGAATGCATTAAATTTATCAGAAGTAAAGATTTATATTGTTAAAGAGATTTCAAATAAATGCTAGTATATTGAACTTTCTATTCACCCAAGTAAGGTTTTCACAAAAATATTAAGCTGCACAACTTATTCTTAAGCAGCAAATCAGCATATTAAAATGATTTCTGAAGGATCATGTGACACTGAAGACTGGAGTAATGATGCTGAAAATTCAGCTTGGCATCTCAGCAATAAATTACATTTTAAAATATATTAAAGTAGAAAACATTTATTTGAAATTTTAATTTTTCACAATATTACTGTATTTATGATCAAATAAATGCAGACTTAGTGAGCAAAAGAGACTCAAAAATATAAAAATCTTGCCAAGACCAAACTTTTGAATGGTAGTATACATTTTTTATTTAAAATTCACTCATTTTGTTATATAATATAATATAATATAATGTAAAAATAACTTTTTTATTAAATGAAAAAAATTTAAGCATTCTTTTTTTTTATTTTTTTTAACCGTTTGTCTTTTTTCCCTCAGTCTGTGCCTAAGCCCATAGCTTTGGAGCCCTGTTTTGGGAATAAGGCAGCAGTGCTCTCCATCTTTGTTAGATTACCCAGAGGCCCCGGAGGTATTCCTCCTCCAGGACAGTCAGGTGGGTCGGCGAGCCAATGCATTTGGCCCCCACACTGAGTGCTGAACATTTTTACACTCTCTGCCGCCAAGGCCATTATACTGACGCTCAGAAACACCTCTTTGTCTTCCTCTCTTCTCAGGTCTGGCAGTAGCGAGTGCATTAGTGGACGTCTCTCAGCAGATGTGTCTGGGATATAAGGAGAAGTCGGGAGGGTTGCGTAGCCGCAAGCAGCAGCCATTAGCACAGCCCGCCACCTGCATCTGACATTTACCCCTCAACCTCTGACCTCGGACCCCTGCCAGGACGCTTATGGCTGGGTTGCGTGGTTTAGCCAAGCCAAGCGGACTCTGATTGGAGAAACTGAATTTCTCCTGGCCCAAGCTGAGAGAACACTACAGGAAATGAACTCTTATGTGACCCTGACTGATAGGACTTATCCTGGGCCACTTTATGATATTTAACTTATTTCAGTTATTTTATTCCATTTTTACAATCAGGAGGAAGAATCCTTGCACTGCTGCATCTCTGATGAAGGCAACACACACAGACAAAATTTTCTTCTGGAGACTTCTTTGGCTGCATGGCTATAACACAAACACAAACACACACCTGCATATAGTACAGAATGTCTTTTAGAGGCATATAGTACGTCTATGTCTGTTTAATCATGGCAGTAGTCGTCAAAAATTGCTTTTATTTCTTAATTATTAATCACGTCTCTGATTTGATGTGCAGGAATAAGACACAGCTAACTGGTATGTTTACAAGCGTTTTACTTTATAGGTCATTTGTGATGTCTCTCCCAAGCATTTCATGTTTGTCCCAATAAGAGGATCTACATTTTAGCTTTTTCACATCCTTCCATTCTCTTTTGAATTACCTCCTTTCACATGTTCATGTAGAGATCTGAGACGTCAGTGTTTATGTTTGCCATAATGATAGTGCTGCTTCTGCTTTTATCATTTACTTCCTCTCACTTCTCTTTTATCTGAAATCTCAACCCATTTCTCAGGCACATTTCAAGGAAGGCAGAAATAAAAGGCGACTGCAGGCAGGCAGCAGGGTGGAATTAGAGCGAACAAGGACCTTGTTTGGGTTTCTCGAAATGTCAGATGTCATTTTGGGCTGGCGAAGTATTATCTGCATACACAAATGCACAAACCTGGACCTGCGTCGGATACCGGGGATATTCTCCAGGATATGGAGTGGATTGCCTAGTGCAAAGGAAAGGTCAGAGATAGAGTGAGCAAATGTGACATTATGAAATCTAAACCGGTGAAAGTGCGTGTAGCGGCGCAGTCATTACATCTTTCATTATCCTGGTGCGCGGCTGTATCGAGACGGCACAGATGACCTGCTTGCCAGTTCTTGGTGTGTTTAGAGTGCCATGAATAAAGGGACACAAGTTGCTAGACCAGAACCAAGCATCTAGTATTGAGAGCCCAAACAGGATGTTACTAATCTGTCCGTGATCTCAATGGAAAATTCATGTCCTGAGACACCCATCAGGTGCGAATGTAAGCCAGAATGTCGTAGAGAGACCATTTATGTTTTTTTTCTCGCGATCTGTTAGGGTCCAAAAGGGAAAGCGCACTCACACGCACACACAAAGTGGTCTAATGAAAGGAGCTGGTCTCTCTTCCTTCAGATGGAAGCTAATTCTCACATTGCTTTTCTCTGTAAGCCTCAAACAGTACTCCTCACACACCGACCGCACCTGATACTGTAGATACGGAATCTGTAGTTTGTTAATATGTATAATGTAGCAGCAAGTGCACTCAAGTTTTTGTACATAGTGATGGACAGTAATGTGAATGCCGTCTATGTTAAGCGACTTACTGCACTTGGCAGGTGGAGTGTCCCAGGCTTTTGAAATGTGACTGCATTGCAGCTTCTTTTGTATGTAAGATGGCGAATGTCATGAACAAACTTTAAACTAGCTGCCTACTTTAGAAAAAAAATAAGACCTGGAAATTTAAACTGACCTTGTAATTATATGCGTACATAAAGAATGACATAGAACATTTTGTCTATAATTAAACGGTAAAATGAAGATGAGTGCCTGTAAATCTGTTGTTCTGATGTTGAGTGAAATTGCAGTGTTCTTGGTTAGCTTATCACCCATCATTTATTTAATGAGATAACGAGCTGCCTATGGCGTTTTTTTAACTATTGAGTAATTTATGTAGCTCAAGGGGAAACGGCACGGTACAGTACGGCATCTAATGTACATTGTTTTATCTTCATTGCATAGTGTGCTGTTGGAAGCATTTAAGCTTGTCTCTCACAACAGGACAGATGAAATGCATTTGTTATCTCCTTATTATCAGCAGGTGGATGTGGATAAACAATATCGTGACAACTTCTTCAGCTCGGCATGAGCGTTTATCCAGTGCCTCTTCAGAGATTTTCCAAATGGGATTATGAGGGAGCTTTCAAAGTCTCCCCGCTCAGATATATTACAGATACTTTACGGCTTCATAATTGAATGGAAATTCTCACCATTAGCTGTGTATTTGCATTTTATCAAGCACATTGGCAGGAATCCAGAAACAGAGAGGGTGGATATTCTTTTCACAAATGCCCTCCGTAAAATGGTTATTGGGGCCTGTGGAGTCTCAGAGGTCTTGACCTTCTCGACTGTATGCAGCGATTAAAATCATGCGTCATAATTTGGACAATTTTCTGTTGAATGAATATTTAATTGTAGTGAAAATGTTTCAAGTTTAATTATTATGAATGTGATGTTTAGCTGACCCACATTTTGCTGGCATCTGTTACTGCATGATTTTTCCATTTCTAAAACAAACAAACAAAAAAAAAGAACATTCCTTAAAGTTACAGGACCCAGGAAGTCATTGTTTGGACTCGTTAACCGCATGCCGTGAGTACATCATGTAAATCATATCATTCCATTTCCTCAGTTTTTACACAAATTGTAGTGTTGCCTGTATTCGTCAAATTCAGCCATTTAACTCTTTAAGCAAAGGTATTTTAAGGGAGAATGATCAAACATATTTTTCTTTATTTTGTGGAAAGTATGTTATGTAAATGATAGCTTAATTTACATTTTTAATTGTTTAGGCTACATATTTTACGTCTGTCTTAGAAAAATTGCTTAAAAAAAACATAAAATTAAAACCTTGACAGTCAGCATTTTCTGAAGCTTAAAAGGATAGTTCACGCAAAAATGAAAATCTGACATTAATTACTCACCCTCATGTTGTTCCAAACCCATTAAGACCTTCGTTCATCTTCGAAACACAAATTACGATATTTTTAATGAAATCTGAGAGCTCTCTGACCCTCCCATAGACAGCAAGGGAACTAACCATTTCAAGGCCCAGAAAGGTAGTAGGACATTGTTAAAATAGTCCATGTGACATCAGTGGTTAAACCCTAATGTTATGCAGCTACGAGAATACTTTTTGTGTGCCAAAAATAAAAAATCAGTTTTATTCAACAATTTCTTCTCTTCCGCATCAGTCTTTGCTGCCATTCACGAGAGTATACTACAATGCATGCGTGCGGTGTTGCAGATGCAGGAGCCAGCATTCTGGCATTCTTGTAGCTTCATAAAATTACGGTTGAATCACTGATGTCACATTGACTATTTTAATGATGTCCTTACTACCTTTCTGGACCATAAAACATTTCAGCTGTGTTGCTATATGCAGGGTCAGAAAGCTCTTCAATATTTTAATTTGTGTTCTGAAAATGGACGTGAGGGTGAGTAATTAATGACAGAATAAAAATTTTTGGGTGAACTATCCCGTTAAAAGAGATTTTTCAACCCCCCAACAAGAGATTCTTTCTTCTGTTGAGCACAAACGATGTTTTGAAGAAAATGGGTAACCAAGCAGCTGCTGGTCCTCATTGTCTTTGATTATATATTTTTCCCAACTCTGAAAGTAAGTGGCTACCAGCAACTGTTTAGTTACCAACATTCTTCAACATATCCTCTTTTGTGCTCAACAGAAAAAAGAAATTCAGAAATATAATGATAGTATAAAAAGAAAAATTTCAGCTTAAGTGTGACTTGGTGTCCGCGTGCCCATGTTGTCCTCCTCCCGAGTCCAGATATCCTTCATATTTGTCTTGCGGCAGTAGCACAACACTGTTAAATGTGGGCGTTTTATTTTGTTGGGGGTTGTTAGTCTGAAGGGCAGTGTAGATGTGTGTGCTGACCCAGACGATGCTCATAGGTGACAATGCAACGACTGTGCTCCAAATAAATGAGGGTTACTTCACTCCCTCAGTTATTCATTACCCCCTCAGCTTGAGCAGATCGGCAGGCCCGCACACAGTCTACACCCACAGAACTTGAAGAATTACAACATCAGTCATTCATGAAGCCCCTCTAATACTTAATGCCACTGTTGGCTAATTTGGTAACATTCGGTAATGATTTCAGCTATTTTTAAGAATTAAATCACAGTATTTATTCCAAATCAAACATGTATGGCTTTCTTCTGTAGAGCAAACAAAAATACATATAAATATTAAAGAATCTTCTCATCGCTATTTTCCATATACCTATTTTCAATTATCATCTTAGCATATTTTCACCATATTAAAATCGATTGCTCAGGTTTTTCCCCAAAAATCAATGCATAACAAACATATGCTTTTGCTTTATGTACATATTTGGACACACAAGCATTATTCTGTACATCCGTATCTGGCAGGTTTATTTTTCAGGAAATGACAAGTAAAATCCACAATTTCCACCCATTTGACAGAAATGCTTTGCCCCGTTTTATGATGCAGGTCGCTGATTGGTCAATAGTCTCTGAAGTTTCTTAGAGGTCAACGCATTTATTTTTCACTCACCTTGTTTGTCATCACAGGACACTTGAGAATAAAAAAAGCAACACAACTGCAGATGCCAAGTGCTCATAGGATGGGGACGCAGAAAACTGGCGTCAGTCACTGGAGAGAATCAACAGACCCTCGTTGTGCTCATTTTGATTGGCGGAGACGAACAGTGAGTAAGGAGATGGGATTAAGCTGCTTGACTTCACATGAACAGGAAGTGTTTTTTCTTTAACAGGGTGTTTTGTGCTTCTTTTTCCATTTGCAATAAGCAGTTTGATGCAGTATTTCAGACACCCATATTCACAGGTGAAGTATACAAGAACTGCTCGGTGATCATGGCATTCATCAAGATACTTAAGCTCTTCTGCTCTTCATATCGGTGCCATTTTCTTAGCAAACCGTGCACTCCAAGACTGCTGGGAGAAACAGCCTACATCTAAACAATACAGCCACATTACAAAAATAAAGACCGTTTCTGTAACCCACTGAAAGAGCTCTCATCGCAGACACTTTTAGTGCATTACATCAGTTTCCTTTCTCTTACCGCTTGTTCTTGTGCTTCTTCAAGCAAACATTGCAAAACACACTTCTATCCGGGTGAATATACAGCACACGTACCAACACTGTCCATTTGAGAGAGCTGGGGGAAAATAGATATTAAAATATGGATGATGAACAGGTAGAATTTTTTTATTTTTTTTAGTGTTAAATTTGTAGCATAGGCATGACTCAGCCACCCGTCGACTACCTTTCAGTCGCTCGCTTTGAAGAGAGGGGGTTTTATCTTACATGGTCACCATCTTCAGTTCAAATTAAGAGAGAGAGACACACACAATTATTTAAACTCTTGAAATCAGTCATTGTGAACACCCAGACAATGAATCACTATGTTGCATTGAGGAATGGAGCAGGGTTTGATATATTTAGAGAGTTTGGCGGTTTTTGCGTCCTCCCCGAATGAGTTTTTGTGATGCGGAAGTCGAAACTCATGAATACACGCACGCTGTCTCAGTTCTGTGGTGCTTTGATTAGTTGCTTGATTTTAAAGTTAGAGAGCCAGCAGCAGGATGGGGAGGAGCCACATTACCATGGCCAGGTGGGCCGCTGCAGGACTGGCATCATAGAGATCAGGGGACGGGAGCGTGGAGTCGCCCCACAGTCTGTCTCTCTCGTTCATCTGCAGAACAAAAAGAGCAAGTGAGATCTGTTTTATCATCTCATCATTTCTTTCTTGGTTCTGTCTTTTATTGGTATCACATCACAGACAGATACAGTACTAAATGGATTCATCTCTAATGGACCAGTGGTGTGTATAGTAATAAAACATATGAACAGACTTCTCAACTTTTAAAAGGAAGATAAAGATGCTTCCCATGTCTTTTGCTAAAAGTCTCACAACATTTATTTGATTAAAAAACATAAGTAATGTGAAATATCATTACAATTTAAAATAACCGATAACTATTTTAATATCTTTTAAATGTAATTTATTCCTGTGAAGGCAAAGCTGAATTTTCAGCCGCCATTAATCCAGACGTCAGTGTCACGTAATCCTTAAGAAATCACTCTAATATGCAGATTTATATTCCACATATTTTGTGGAAAATATTTTTTCAGATTTTTTTCAGGATTCTTTGATGAATAGAAAGTTCAAAAGAATATCATTTATATGAAACAGAAATCTGTTTAAAAAATTATACATTTCTTTTAGAAAATAATCTTAGTGATCGCAGTAGTGTTAGGTTATGTGATGTTTCATCCTCAAAAGCCGTGAAAAAAATATGAGAAAGAAAAGAATGTGTGCCTGATTATAAATACAGGCTTTGTTGAGTGAATGATTGGTTTCTGAGAGCATGAAACTTTCAAAATTCAATTTTAAATAATAAACAATTTTGGCATCGTGTTGTAATCACCACTTAAAGTCCAATGTAAAATCTGGATCCTGATTGAAACCTATTAAGATCCACTGCATTAGAAAATAACAAAACAACAAGACAGTATACAGCTGGTCTTAGCTGGTCTTCCAGTCTGGTCCAGACCATCTGACAAATCCCCTCTAAAATCACAAAACCAGACTATTGTGGTAAGCTTGGCCAGGCAGGGAAACAGACAACAGTAATCATGTAGGCTGGTTTACACTGTTTCTTTCAGCAGGGAGACTATAACACACATCTATGGCTTTGTTCTGACAGACATGAAAAGCATATCTGACTCCAATCCATTTAGCTGTTTGCACTCTGAACAGCAAAAAAAAAAAAAAAAAAAAACACATGAAATCGAATTTTTTTCAAATCGTATTCAAACCTCTTGCAACAGGTTCAAAATATTGTCAAAAGATGTGACTATATCATACATTTGTCACCCAGCGCTAAAAAACTCATGTGTCATTGTGGTATGTATTCTGTAAAAAATAAATAAATTAATAATCATCAGAATTGAAGAAATCCAATTTTTACAAACCCAAACCATATCCATATGTGATTTTAAATCCGATTAAAACAGTATACATTTTTCCAAATGCGTTACAGTCTGGACAGTCAGAATGGATTTTAAGTAATTTTTGCGACACAATATGTATGCAATGTCATACACAATGCAAATCTGTGTTCTCTCACAAGAAAGCTCTGACGTGAATGAATAGGCAACATGAATGATCGGTTTTGCCAAGTTTGAAATCTAGCAGGAACACAGCGAGTTAGATTTTCAAAAGGTCCTAGAATACATACTGGCACTCAGACGGACCAGGATAAAGGCCGGTACCTGTGTGGGCATCTGTGGACGCAGGATGTTCTGCTCGGTCTGCATGCCAGAACCAATGGTGGTAGTGGTGGTCTCGGTGCTGGTAACTAAGATCTGGTTGTAAGTG